GCGGGCGGGATGCCCCGCGGCCGCCGCACTCGAGCCGGAGCGCAGCGCTGAGCCGCCGCCCGCACGCCATGGAGCAGTGGCGGCAGTGCGGCCGCTGGCTGATTGACTGCAAGGTCCTGCCGCCCAACCACCGGGTCGTGTGGCCCTCGGCTGTGGTCTTTGACCTGGCTCAGGCGCTGCGCGACGGGGTCCTGCTGTGCCAGCTGCTGCACAACCTGTCCCCCGGCTCCATCGACCTTAAGGACATCAACTTCCGGCCGCAGATGTCCCAGGTGAGGGTCACTCGCGGGCCGAGCTCAGGGCCTGGCTGGGGACTCGCGGGTGGCAGGGACGCGGGAGACGGGGTGCCCGGCCTCGGGCCGGCTTCTAGAGCGGCGATCCCGGTGGCACGAAGTTGGGCAAAGTCTCCCGGGCCCATAGCGCGCCAGTTCCCCGGCCTGCGCCTCCCTCGGGGCTGGACAGACTCCGGCCCGGGGCGTGACCCGCACTGCGCCCCCTTCTGGGCCGCGGCGCCCGGCCCTGCCAGTGTCGTTCGCGCCCTGGGCCCGCCGCGCGCTGGCCACGGGCGTCACGCCTGGGGGACCCGGCCGTGGGGACGGAGCAGCGCGCGCACAGCGCCCGCCCTGCGGCGCGTTGAAGGGACTAGGCGGGGCGCGGTCCTCGGGCCGGGGGTGCTTGGGGGAGCAAGGTGCCGCCTCCGTCTCGGCCTGGTTCCCGTCTGGCGAGGGCTGGGGGCGAGCCACCTCCGTGGGGAGTCCCCAGTGCTTCCTTAAGCGTGGCCTTTGTCGCGGCAGAGGCACGCGGTGACTGCAGGGCCAGGGAGGAAAATGTCCGCTCCGCTGGCCGCAGCTGCTTTTCTTGGCCTCTTAATGGGAACTTGGGTGAGAGTTAAGCAGAATCGTGTCTCGTGGGCGCCCGTCCAGCGCGCTTTAAAGGGGTTCCAGGAGGCAAAGGGGGTGTCACCCCAGCCCTGGCCCAGCCAGTGTGGCCAGGCGCGCCCAGCCCGCTGGGTAGGTGGCCCCTGTCCCAGCACCCGGGGCAAGCCCGAGTGGACAGAGGCCATTCTTTTGGACTTCGGGAATGAAGTGAGTCACCCTGATCCAGCAGCTCTAGCGGCGCTGCCCCCTGCCCTTCGTGATGTCTGCCTTCCTGGGCTGCTGGAGCCTTGCTCCAGGGTAGATGACAAAGGGGAGCCCTGCGGGGAAGTAGAGAGGCGCCCCGCGCTGGGATGGTATTCCAGGACTCTGCCCACCCCTGAAAGGGAGCCTGGAGAGCCTTAGCCCCCACATGCAGTCATAGTGACAGCGCGGGGTCACAGTGGCGTGGCAGCACTGTGCTTGGGCCTCCAGGCTGTCCTCACAGCTGGAGGGATTCACCCCACTGTGGCTGGAGCAAGGGCGGCTGCCCGTGGTACCGCTGGGCACTGATTGCAAGGAGGCTGGGGTGGGCGGAGGCCGGGGTGGGCGGAGGCCGGGGTGGGCGGAGATGGGGAGGAGCTCTGCTTGGCCTGGAGACCCGAAAGCCCTCCTGCCACCGCTCCCAGCTGGGGTTTGTATGGGCGGCGGAAGGGAGGGGGAGGGGAGAGGAGGGGGGAGGGAACGAGGGGGACAGGGAGGGGGAAGAGGGGACCCTGGCTGTGGCCGGAGGCAGAGATCAGGCCCTGGGCCAGAAGTTCCAGCCAGGGACACCCGAGCTGGCAGGAATCAGCAGTCCTGGCACCACTACAGACCCCTTAAGCCCCAGCCTGGCCCAGTACAGAGATGTTAGGGAGTTAGTGGGACTCCGGCACCGTGCTGGGGTCCCATGCTGACATTCATTAGCTCTCCTGTCATCTCCCCTCCTGTAGGTAACCCCTCAGGGTCTCAGTTTTCCAAGCCTAGCGATGACAGCTGCAGTCCCTGCCTCCTGGTCATGTGCTTGCTTAGGGAAGGCTCCTGGTGTCCTTGGTTCAGTCAGCAGATTGGGGGCCTCACCTGGACACTGGATGCTGCTCTGTGGCTCAGGCCTGACCTTGTCCTCTTTCCTCCTGTCTTGCATGGAGGGTGGAGTCAGTCCCTCCTTTGTATGTCCCTTGCTGACTCAGGATCAGTTTCAGGTGACCAGGGTGGGCCATATAACCCCATCTGCGCACTCACAACTGGACGGACAACTTCCTGGGCCACAGGTGGCTGCACCGAGCTGGCCACCAGAACTCAGGTCTCTCCGGCTGGCTGCCCTTGGCCCTGTAGGAAACCCACGTTTCTTTGTGGGGAGGGAAGGCATCAAATGTCATCTCTGTCCACTGTGGGTGGGTCACGAAGAAAACACAGCTGCCCTCTCACCTGTGCTGCCCACCTGCCACACGATCCCTGAGGAGGTGCCACCCTGATTTTGGATGGTGCAGTTAAAGTGCAGAGTTGGGGCCACCTACCCTAGCTTACCCTGGTAGTGAGGAGCAAAGCTGACAGGGGAGCCTCTTGGGATGTTTAAGGAAATCCTGATGTTTTACAGAAATTTGCAGACGGCTCTGGCTGCTAGCTAAGTTCTCATGCACGTAGCTTTGTCTTGGGCCTTCCCAAGCAGTGTCTTGCCCTACGGGCTTTCTGACTTTTGAGTGTGGTGCCTGCCCACTCCCTGGGGTGACTGGGGCATAGGGGCATCTGGAGGTTCTAGGGGCGGCCCTCTTTGGGGCACATCCAGGGCTGCTGTGGTGGAGCACAGGGATGCAGCCAGCTCCAAAGCCTGTCGCGTGTTACCTGCTAGACCGCCTCACAGCTTCCCACAGTGACATCCTGTTTTCGGAGGATTTGGAGTTCCCCTCGGGCTCCGAGTTTATTTCGGCTGGTTCTGGGCCGAAAGGAGCGCGGTAACAGTGTGCTGTTACTATGCAGCTGCTGTGTGCAGACCTGGGTGCCAGCAGACGTCACCAAGAGACTCCCCCACTGCGCACTTTGTTGTGCCCTCCAGGAGCCAGCAGGATGCACTTTATTTTATTCAAAGTGCCTGGAAGCCACCTTGGGCTTAATTAAACTAATTAAGGATGGCCACAATCTGCTGATCCTAGGAAAGGCCCAGTGCGTCTGGGGTGCCCGCGCCAGCAGCTGGCCTGCATTTGCTCTGTGGTGGCTGCTTCAGGGGACATCCAGCTTGGTCATGACTGTATCCCCCTGGTGTCTTCCTCCTACTGGCCACTGGTGGCCTCTCTGTAGGGACCCAGCACAGTAGCCTGGGCTCATAGCTCACCCAGTGCCTGAGCCTCCAGCCTGGCTCTTGTGGCCCCAGTCTGTGCCCCTTTTCCACTGCTGTCCATCATGGTGCCCTAGATCTCTGCTTCAGCCTGGTTCTTCTTGGGGAAGCAGCTCAATGCCCGCCCCCCAGAAGCCCCCAACTTCCATCTCAGGCCTTCTTCTGCACCCCCCCCATGCGTATCTCTGGCTTTGTACTTTGCACAACTTGTCTTGGCATGCGTACCACCTACCATACACACCACCTACCACGGGCACCACCTACCACGGGCACCACCTACCACG